GAGGTCCACATAGCAAGAAGACAATGAAGAATTCGGTGGAGATAAGATGCCTTGTTACCTAACAAAGAAAGTGGAAGACACCTGTCCAAGATAAGATTCCAAACTCTCCTATAAAAGGAGGCATGAAGGAAGAAGGAAGATATCTCGAAAAATCTATCTCTATTCTCTGAGAACATTTTAGAGAAAAATTTTCTTGTAATCTGTATACACTACTTGTATTCAGAAAAATATTAGAAAGCTTGAAGATAGGAAAGCGTGTAATAAGGTAATCACTTATGGAGTTCTAAACTTCATAAGGTGAGTACCAAAGGTATGTAAATATAGTTTGTAAGCATGTACAATTTCAGTTTATGAATATCAAAGTAAAGTTTGTTATGTTCAACAAAGTTTCCATAAAAGGATTTCGTTAAGCTTCTCATGATTCCTCGGCAGTACAGATAGAGATTTTAAAAGATTTTCAAAATATTGATTTTGAATGGATGTTAGCCATGCCAAAGTACCCGTCTTTGATGAATGGTTTAGGGGAAAATGGCAGTTTTCTAACAAAAAATTGTAGCACCTTGTGTGTGAGTTATCTTTTAAAATTTCGTTCCAAGTAGGAACTTGATTCTGAAAAGAGTTTGGATAGAGGTGAAAACAGAGACTCTGGATACTGTGAGATAGCGTCTGTGGAAACACGGCTAGTTCTCTAGAATGAGAAATGCAACCTTAATTGAAAAACTTTTTGCGGAAGCAGTTGTGAACCCAAATGATTTCAAAAACATTTTTAATCTTTACTTGATTCAGAAGATTGATTAAGTACATGCAAAGCATCTATAAGAGCATACTGGAGGGAAAACCTGTTTATTCCACTTGATTACTGTAAGTTATTTACTTATTTTTACATGTTTATGCTTTAATTATCTTTAATGAACAATTCACAAGCATCAACTTCTATTGTTAATAATGATAATAATCTCATTTTATTTTTAGATGAAGAAGATGTTTCTTTCTTGCTTAAATTAGATATAAAATCTGATGTTATATTCCCTATTGGTAAAGAAAAGATTGAAGAAATATATAAAGATATAGATTATAGTTGTAAGAATAATATAGGTTTTGATCCTGTAAGAACTCATAAAGAAATAAGGAAAGTAGAAGATATTATAACTAAACATACGGATATCCAAGAAGAAATTTCAGTAGGATTATTTAATGGATATATAACTAAGAAAGGTCAACCTATAATCTTTGAAGAATTATTAAAATATAAAGAATATTTAAAGGTGTTCAAAAGATTGAAAAATATAGATATAGGACCTGATTGACAATTCCTTAAAAATATAAGATAAATCTTGCAAATAATTTCATTAAGGGCAATATAGTACTTTTGATAAGAAAGGCTATTGTGAAAAATAAGAAGAATATACTAGCCATTTTTAAAGTTGTCCCAAACAGGAGTCAAGTTTTATATTTCGTGAAGAATATAGAAATTGAATTAGGCATGAACTTATGGAGAACTTTCCTTCAAATATCGACTTATGTGGATGGATATGAAATATTATATATACAATAATAAAAACTGTTTTAAAGTAAAATCTGTACCTTTTCTCCATAATGATACGCGCATAAGCATTATGATCTTTTGATTTCACATTGCTCAATATGAAGGTTTTCTTCATGCAAAAAAAATAAAATAAAATAAAATGAGCTTTTTATTTAATATGAAAATATATCACTAAGCTGACATTCTTCCAACAGCGGCTGGCATCTGCGCTGTATGGATTCGGGCAGTATGCACCACTTTGTTGGCGCTGATTTCTCGTGCATAAGCTGGGGTCATGCTCAATCTGGAGAACTAGGATATGGACCCAGTGGGCAAAAGTATGTGATGCTTTTAATAAATGAATTTCTTGTTATTAATCATATAGACGAATAAGCACATCCTCGTAAATTTATGCATCAATTTCACCATTTGCGTGTTTCATCGTTCCTTTTTTTTTTTTTTTAAAATTATCTTCTGGCCTTTGGCTTCTGTCTCTGCTTTGCAGATCTTCTGCAGCTCCTAAAAAAGTAGATATCTTAGAGGGAATGCATGTTATCAGGTTCGTATTATTATAAAACTGTATTATCTTGAGACTTGTTTCATCATAACTTATTTTAGGTCTTTTGTTATTACAGTGTTGCTTGTGGATTTGCCCATTCCATGGCGATTGTTGATAGAACCAATATTGCCGATCGACTTGAGCCGGTAAATTTTTCGGCACTAAACTTGTCTGATATCTTTAACCTGTAACTGACCCCAAAATTTGCAACCTTCCAATTCACGAAGCACTGAAAAATGGGTTTCAGTTTGCCTTTGTGGTCTATGTTATATTTGGTTAGAGTTCAGAATTGTTATGTGTGGACATCCACGTATTAGAGTTTTTTATGTGTGAATCAAATTTGTAATCTGTGAAATGAGTTTTCTCCAATGCAATCTGGTCAGCACAGTTTACCTCTCTGCACATGCACATATTTGATTTTATTTTAATCTTACCATTTTATTATTCGTGGTCATTTATAAATGGCTTGTTTTTGGATGCATGGCTGATGAGGTGCAGAAGGGTATCTGATTTTTATTTTTTTTTAATTTTTTTTCTAAATTTCTTGACAGCTTGAAATATTTGATGGCAAAGATGCTGGCAAAGGTATACTTGTATGATTGGCATTATGATTTTGAAAACGTCATGCGTTAATTTCATAATCTAGTCTTGACTAGTTAAGGATGTTCCGAGATTTTTTGCATCGATGTGACAAGGTGCAGTACTGCTGAATATCATACATAATAACGCTAATTTCTCTGTGCTGCAGTGAATGAAGAGCCCGAGAGTGGAACTTCTGTTCCTAAAAAATTTAACAAAAAGGGTTCTGTTAAAAAATTGGAAAACGCGAAAAAGAGGAAGAAAGTGGAAGATTCATCAGAGTCTGAAGACGACGAAGATAGTGAATATGACAGTGATGACAGTGAAGTACAACTGAATGGCAATGCAGAACACGGAAAGAAACGGGGTGGAAAGGCTTCAGGCAGAGGACGTGGCAAAAATGCTGGTAAATCAGCCACGGAAAATAAAGGCACTGGTCGGGGAAGGGGCCGCCCCCCATCAGCAGCTAAAAGCTCACAGTCTTCAGGGGAAAAAGGATCGGGTAAGAGAGGAAGGCCTAAGAAGACATGAGCTTTGGTTTTTCCTGGTCGACACGGGAATTTGGTCGTCCACCGAAGAAAGTATACTATGACTATTTCACAATTTTTCTGTTATGTTCTATGGGATGCACTCTAATCTTTCAAGAAAAATGTCATCCTTCATTTATTACATTGATTACGTGTATCTTGGAATGCTTGACTATGTTGTTTTACCCAAAGAAATGGGGTACCGTTTCTTCTGTGGGTTAATCTGTGGTTTATTAATCACTTCTCCGTTTTGTGCCAAGTAGTTGATTGTATGCCAATGATCAAGAAAGAAATTGATATTCACTGTATAAAATTTCATGCCATGATTGTGTTTCTAGCAATTCTCTACCAAACGGGGACTAATGTGATCTTTTCTTTGTATGAAAACCTTTTTATTCCTAATTGTTGACTTTTGGCAATGGAATAAATGGGGAGAAATCATCATTTACAGATGCCATTAGCAAAAAGTAGTCAACTACTCATCACTAATCACCTTTATATAACAATAACAAAGTCAATGTTCAGTAATGATGATGTTTAGACTTTAGTTGAGATGATAAGATTAAAATTGTGGATTTGGTCTATCCAAATGCATGTCATCAAAATTATTATTTAATTTTTTTTGGCAAAGTCTCTCAATACAATTTTGACAACTTTGACACATTACATCTTATTAAATAAAAAAATATCAAAGTACAATGAGTCGATGTATATAAAAAGTATTGATTTTTTCTAATATTTAGAAGACGTGATGTGCTTATATACCAAGAATGTATTAGAAAGACAATTTGTGAGAAACAATGGACTTGGATTCAATTGATTTTTACCTATACAAATCATCAAAAAATTTGCAACCGCGATCCCCAGATATTTTCACTTGAGCATTCAAATGCAAGTATGTATCTACTCGATAAAACAATATAAAATTTCGTCGAATATTTATATGACCTACACGTGATCACGCGATTAATCATTTCGCCAAATTCATTTTAATTTTTTCTAGGTTAAAGAAAATATTTTAGAATAAGTGACAATGTAATTGTCCGATATAATTTTTAACGATTTTCATCTAACGATAATTTTTTGTTTTTGTTTTTTTCCTTCTAAAATCCTTAAATATTTACCATTTCCAGAAATTGATGTATACTACTCTCTAGTTATGGAAAATTTCAATTAAATACCATAATTAAGTGAAAAATAATGTCACCTAATGACCATAGTTATAGAAAAACCCTATTGAAATGGTCATAATGTGGCCAAATGGCTTATTTTGCATAAGTAAAGGACTAAAAGATAAAAAGTCTGGAGTCAGGAACATGAGTAACGGCACTCCGTTGCGCTATATACTCGGAATCGAAACGCCAAAATGAGCTATATTTAAGGCACGTGTTGAGATCCGACTTCCCAAAATGCCCCCTTTTATCCGCTACAATTCCCAAGAAAGTGTCTTTAAACTGAAAATTCTCCATTAGGACTTGGAGCAACCAGACGAAGGTTCACACGCACAGATAATCCAAAATGGGAAGATCAGCTTCATCATGCTTCAAGATCATCACTTGTAGCTGTGATTCCGTCGATCATGACGATCTCCAAACCCCCGAAGTATAAATTCATACATACGCAATCATATTTATGTGTAAATATTACTGTATATACGTAATTCTGTTTTCCATTTGGTTTTTGACTTTTGTTTGAATAATTTGCGTTTTTTGCGGTTTTCAGCTTTCAATTTGAAATCGTGCTTTTATGTTCAAATGTTTATTTTGATATGCAAAGTTTTGAGATCATTAATGCATCTGGTTTGTGTCTTGTGTTTTGGATTGGCTGATTTGATTGCTCTTTCCCTTTGACCTCGAATCGTGATTCTTAAATTCGAGATAGGATCTGCATTTGTCATTTTATGCATGTATGTTGCAACCTAGTTCTCAAGTTCACTTTTCGGACATCATCAGCTGAATTATTATTGATAATTGCTCATGTTGCTGAATAATCAACGAATATTAATGCTGTAAATTAAATGCGAGCATTTGATCTAGAATTCAGCTATATCAGACGTGTTTCTCATTGCAGAATATCTGATACGTGTAAAAGTCCATGACATATTCGATATGTAGAGATAAAATAGGACCTGTAGATGGTGATAAGATAAATATGGTTACTATTCTTATTCAAACATCTTTATGGTGTGGAATGTTTTACTAGGGTTTCATTTGTTCTTTTCCGCCTTGTTGTAGCATAGTTTATAGAGAATGTCCGTGAAAGCCATTACATAAGACAATCATGTTGGCTATGTACTTTATTTATGCATGGAGCCCTATGCATTATGATTATGTAAACAATTCATTTCTTGAGGAAAACATAGTGCTTTTCTCCTTACATAGTATAACCCATTGTTATTCAATAGAGGATCTAATAATGCCCCCTAATGATCAATTCGTTATCTATGCATGTTTTTGTACTGTGTTATATGTCCATCTGATAAAAAAAATTATCATTCCTCGAAGCTCTCATAGAAGGCCAGATAAGTCGTAGATTAGTAATTTTTTTTTTTTTTTTAATTAATTTGAGATATGGAATTATGCAATAGGCTTTTTTGAAGTACATTGATTTCAATTTTCATTAATGTTATTTGATTCCACTTGCAGAACAAGGGTTCTAGTGACAGAAGTGGATGGGGCTTTCGAAAGAGATCTACTAGACATCGAGTGTTGAGCAACTCTGTTATCTCAGAAGCAACTTCCTCTGTAAACAAGGAAAACTCAGAATCTACGGCGGTTGACTTTCAAGAGCAGCATAGAATTGTTCCAGAAAAATCCTCGACAGATGGGAAAAGTGAGTTGTCAACTGAAGTAAACTCAAAATTATTAGATGCTGTAGTTGCAAGAGATGATGATGCTACCCTAGACGAGTTCACTGTCATTTTAATCCAGGCTGCCATTAGGGGATTTCTGGTATGTACTTTTACCAAGTTAAGTTTCAAACTTTATCAAGTACCGTAAGTACAGTTTTATGTATTATTTTCGTAATGCTATACCAGGCTCAAAGAGGTTTATTGAAGCTTAAGAATATAATCAAGTTACAAGCTGCCTTCAGAGGACACATAGTTCGAAAACATGCCACGGGAACACTTCGTTGTGCCCTAGCAATTATCAAAATGCAGGCACTTGTTCGAGGACGTCATGCCCGTCGACGTGTAGAAGGATCAAATGCTTTCGAGAAGCAAAGTGAAAATTGTGGGAATGCTTACCATGATTCGACAATCGTGGGCATGGTACTAGCTTGTTACCCTACATTCTCCCTTGCCTTGTTTCTTGTTATCTTCTCTCTAATTAGGATTGGAACCTCCTTATTTTGGCAGTTGCCTGATGTCAAATAATTTTAAAGGATTTGAGAGCTCTTGTCAATATGTTCCTGGAAAGGTCAATACTTTACACAGGGTGCTAAAAGATTCATTAATGTTTCTAGGCCCCTCTTTGGCCTCCATTTTCTATAACTCATTTTTCTTCACTCATTTTCAACCACATATGTCATGGGACCCTCGACTTTTCAATTACGTATTTCATCAACTTTTATCAAAATATACTAAAAATAAGATTTTTCGCTACAGCAAACAGGGACAAAATCTTTACATTTTAGCATTTTAAGTGCTTGATACTGACACGTACTCTGGAATTTATCCCCATTCTCCTTTCTCAACAAATAAGTGCATTATAAATGAATTTATGTTTGGAAAATTTCACTGCTGCCTCAATAGCAAGTTGATTCTGAACCTCTTAAAAGAAGCATGATCCCGAACCTTCCACTATAGTTTCACAATCAACTTTCAATGATGGAAATGTCCAATTCTATGTTTAATCGTCATGCTGTCCTCATACGTTCAACTGTTTGCACATGTTCAACTTTATAAAGCTAGATTATATTCCCCGAAATTTGAAGTGAGGCATCTTTCATGAGGGGGTTACGTGAGATATTGAAGGTTCCATCATTGGGGGACTGATTATGTAACAAGGGTTTGGGACCAACTTGCTCCTTTTTAAATTTTGAGGACCAACTTGCTAATGGAACAATATGTTTGGGACCAGTTTTTCATGTTTTGATTTCTTATTATATTGAGGAACCAAAGAGATTTTTTCATCTAGCATTTCTTTCTTTAATTTTTTTGCTGTCTGCGGTTTCTTTTGTCTGACACTAAATTTTATTTTCAGAGTAAAAATGAAGCCAATCGTAATGTCACCATTTCCATTGAGAAGCTACTTAGTAATGGATTTGCTCGACAGGTAAATGAACTGATATGTTTCTTTTGGTCAGAAATTATGTTGCATTCCACATACATACAATAGACATTGAACTTTTCTTGATCTTGATGTCGCTCCTGGATCTTAATGTAAGCTATTGGATTCAACACCAAGGACCAAACCTATAAACATCAAGTGTGATCCTTCAAAATCTGACTCGGCCTGGAAATGGTTGGAAATGTGGATGTCAGTTTCATTGATGAGCAACAATGAATCACAAGCATCAGGATTAGCTACAGAACAGCATGAGAGGGAAGAACTTGGTCATCCAGACAGGAAAGATGACATTGTAATTCCATCTGAATGTACTTCTGAGTCAGTAGGCTTCAAGTCTAGTGCAGAAGCCTCATCCGATGCAACTGAAAATGCTGACAACTTGGACTTACAGTCATGCAGATCAACAACACCTTCATTGAGTCAAAAAGTGGAGCTGCCTGAGCCCCAAAACTTTAATGAATCAAATATGACATGTAATGTAACTGATTCTTTATCTATTCCACTGAATGAAACAGATATGCTTCCGAAGGTGGAATCCAAATCTGACCCAGGTAAGCCTGAAAGAGAACCTGAGCAAGAAATACACCATGATGAAAAAAAGTTTTCCACCAAGCAACCTGAAACTGAGCTGTCTGATCTCTTTGATGAATCAAATACTACATACAATGTAAACAATTCTGCACCAATTCAGCTGAACCAAACAGACTTACTTGTGAAGGTGGAACTTGAATCTGACCCTGGCAAGGTTGAAAGAGAACATGAGCAAGATATACACCATAATGAGGAAAAAATTTCAACCAAGCGACCTGAAACTGAGCCACCTGAGCCCTTTGATGATTTAAATACCATATATAATGTTAACAATGCTTTACCTACTCCGCTGAACAAAACAGACTTGCTTGTGAAGATGGAACACGAATCTGACCCATTGAAGTCTGAAAGAGAACACGAGCAAGATATACAGCAGGACGAAGAAGAGTTTTCCACCAAGCAACCTGAAAATGAGCTGCCTGAGCCCTTTGATGAATCAAATACCACATATAAT